ACCTCTAATCAACGTTTGATGAGATAGCTTTTACCTTAAGTCGAATACAAAAATTCAGACACCGATACGAACAATGCTATTATATATATATGATATTTATCATCTTAGCATATCTTCTTGGTTCGACAAAACCACATCTATTATCAGACGACGAAAAGAGTTGTGCTTTGAAAGCCGCAAAAGAATTACTTCCCAGTGGGTTACTGTCACTAATAATTAAATTAAAATAAAAGCTTTAAATTAGTGGAAATCCCAACAGAATGGCGATGCAATTCAAAAAGTACTGTCCAGCTGCAGCGTCTTCAGCATCTGTCGAAAGAATGTTTTAGACATTTGGTTTGGTCCATTCCAAACTTCCAAATCGCTTGAGAACCAAAAAAGCCGCTAAATTAGTTTTCGTGTATTATTATCACAATTGACACAATTACAAAATATATATAATTTCCAAATCACGATTAAAAGTGAGAAAATCAATTGATTTGAATCGTCGCAATACTTATGCACCATTCCTCTTCAGCCCAGCAAGCAGAATGGAAAAAAAACACTACTGGCTTTAAGCTCCATGTTTTTGGAAGAGAATATCGAAAAATTGAAATGTCCCAAATTGATTTTGGTACCCTCCTGGGTGTATCTCGGGGACAATGAGACATTTACGCAGCATTTTGATGTTTGGAATATTTTTTTTGGAAACAATGTGATAACGAATATTGGATCGTATTAAAACATATTTATGATCGACTTCAGTTTGCATATGAGATAAAGTGTTCTGAGACCTATCAGCGAACTGCAATATAATTCACTGGTACAGCAGTATCAATATCAATGAGAGAAAATAACAGTACGCCACTGCTGATTGACCATATGGCCAGCTCCATGACGAAACGGGATTCAAACATAAAACCCTCTGATTCATGTGTATGGCTGACCCATTATTTGCAAAGTACTTTTCTTGTGGCTGATTAGAATTTATTTCAGCTAAGAATGAATATTGTTCTTCGGCATTTCATAGCTCTATCCTCAACTGGAATTCTTAAACTGGCACTACATCAATGAAGTCTTCCTAAAATTGGCCCATGCAGCTTTCTTCCAACGATTTTACTGAGCAGCTTGAAGGTGTAGATGAATAATACATTGCAAGTGGATATCAAGAAATGTAATATTTTGATTTTTGAATATCACAGCATATTGATTTCCTCCATTTCATTGTAAAATCTGTGCATCGCATTTTGCATAAGCATAACAGGATCAATTCGGCCTATTTAACTACGTATAGTTTCTTTCAAGGCAATGATGATCCTTGGAGTATTTATTGCCTCTGCTACTGAGATACTCCCAAAGAAAGAAGTTCATAGGGACCATATCTGATGATCGCGGTGGCCATGCAATATTACCAAGGCGAATAATCAATCCTTTATTCGTCTGGTTTACTGGGAGCTAAATCATTTAATAGCTAGAAACTGATATTAAGACATGTTTAAATATCAATCAACTTAAAGCTAAGTTGAAAGAATCGCTTATATTTAACTGTTACTATGGCGTTTCATAATGTTTGTATATGATTGTTATGTTGCCTTATACATTTTTATTTATTATTAGAAATCTAACTTGATAAATCCTATATATTTATTTTAGTGTCTAAAATGATAACAAATAATTTGAATTTGAAAATGTGAGATTTGCAACGGTATGCGTTACTGGAAATGAATGAATCGGCAAATGATATTCAATGGTTTTACATCTCAGCATAGAAAAAAGTCTGTATACCGTTTACGGGTGTAGTTTCAGCGAGATGGGGCTACACACGGGTCAACTTTGTGGGTCGTTTCCGCAACACTTGATGTCTCATTCATAGTCACTGTTATTGCCAGATTTAACCCCGTTGACTTGGGCAACATTTCTTGGACTAAATATCCAAACATCCATTTCCTCGTAGTCATCCCTAGGTAGCTGTTCTCAGAACATCCCATCAAGGCCGGCTTGATAGATTCTAATGGATCACGGTTAGACAAAACACCGGCGAAAAAAGCATGTTATTTCTCGGTTGATCGCTCTAACTCTAACAATATTAGTTTATCAAATCCGGCGAGACGAATGGTGCGTCAACCTTGAGCAATCTGAGAGAATTTCGGGTGACCGGAATATGATTTAGTTCAACAACCAATGCCACAGCGGATTTCGGTGCAGCCTTTGCCTTAACCATGACATGATTGTTTGGTTAACCCGATAGGAGAACGAATCAATAGTAGTTTGTTTTAGTTGGCCGATGAGTTAAAATTACGCCATTGTTGATTCATTATTCCTTATCTGCAATACCATAAGTCATCGTCTTCTAGTAGTTTTTCTGATTCTGCATCAAAACCGAATCAGAAATTTGACATGGTTCTATCTTCCAAGTGCCTCATTTCCTCTGGAGTGCCTCAAGGGTCTGTACTCGGACCACTCCTATTCATTTTGTATATTTCTGATCCACTCAATTGTTAAATATTGTAATATCCAATTATTTGCCGACGATTCACAGTTCTACAGTGATTTCCACAATCACGACATTCGAAATGCTGAATCTGAGGTAAATGAATATTTGAGAAAAAGTATAATTCGCGCTTTTGACCTCCCTGTATGAGTAAAACTGAAAATTCGAAAAAGTAACAAATACGATAAAAGCTGAGGTGTGTATGTTTTTTTTTTGATACAAAATTCAGCACTCCAAATTTCAAAATTGCGGATTTAGGGGTTGCCGAAGTAGACGGTTTTTCTGGACAAAACACCTTACATTTCAGTAGCTAATTACCAAAACCCCATAGTATGTTATATCAATCTTTTTTTTTTGAATTGGTCTATCCAAATATGCAATAAAATTCGAGGCATTCCATTTAAAAAATCACAACTTTTTTTTGATGTAGGTCAAAATAATTACCAATATTTTAGAAATATGCACTTAAATGTCATGTATAACATGTCATAAATAGAGATTCCTGAAATGTATTTGTTTATGAGTAACATTCCGTCCACACATGGATGGGCCACCCTGTATATTCTTGGGTAAACTAAGAAATGGAACTGAAGCTGCTGCGACGACAGCCATAATACAGAAGAACTACGACTACTATAAATAGTGAAATGTTTTGAACTGACTAGTAGTACTGGTAAACCATTTCATATTCTCAAAATTACACTAAAAATAATCTACCATGAACAAAGCTCTATCTAGAAGAAGAAACTGGTAGATCTAGCACGACTAAAATGTGGCGGCATCCTACAAGAGTGTGGGAGGAACAAATTCCGCTAGCCTATTGGTACACCGATGAGGTTGAGACTGTTGAGATAAGCCCTCAGAAGCAGATAACTGCGCCAAATTATTGCATCTTCAGGCAGTGATAACCTCCAAGTCAGAGTGGAACTCGCTACCAGTCTAGTTCAACTATCTAAATTGGTCTGTTGTCCGCAAAGATATGAATCTTAGGAAATAACATTACCAATATGTAACAGAAACAACGTTGGAGCCAAAATTGATCCGTCAGGAGTACCTGCGTTGATATTGTGAGATTAACGTGCAAAATTGCAAGCGTTCAATAAAAAATCATTTCACGTTACATACATTACTTTGAAGTTCTTATAAATCTGACAAATAAATGCGTTTCAGTCGTAATTATGAAAATGTTTCGCTAAGTGATAGCATCTGCAATCGACAAGATGTTCGTTTCATCGCAATACGGTTCTGAATACGACTCTGTCGTATTTTTCAACTTTCGGGTATCTATCTTCGATTTGAATGACAATCATATGACGCTATAAATACAGGGTAGTGTCAAACCACTACTGGATTTGTGGTAGCGTCTAAATTGTATATCTACGATCGATAAGTTTAACATTTCAAGGTTATCTTAGTTATAACTTCATAGTACTATTTCGTATTGGATAAGATGTAAATAAACAATCCTTAACCGTATTTAAATTTGCCCTATATGCAAGCGAATAGAATAACTCACAATTACTTCAATACGACATGATACAGTTTATTATACCGCAGCTGATATATGAAATTGGGTTTTTCTGCAAATAAATAAAGCCTAACGACTTTACAACTTTTTCTATTGTAACTGTTCAATGATTGATGTAATATGCATTGCTAATTGTCAATGGTACCAATAAAACGCAGGTACAATAATTGTTGTTATGACATTTTTCATGCACCGTTTGAATTAGCCGCGGGCAAGGACGGACAAAGCACACTAGATCTATTCTATTTTTTCCATATATCTGCATTTAATTATCTCAACTTGAGTATTTATACCGTATATAGCAAACCGGATCTTGATTCTTGATTGGAATAGCGCGTTGCAGGATTACTTTCTATCAGTATACTCGTATACAAAGTAGAATGTTAAATGTCATAAACGTATAAGTTTAGTCATTAGTTGGATTTTTAAAGCGGGATAAGACCGAGTCGAGTTAATTGATTTCAAAGCAAATTGATTTACCTGAGATTGGATCAGTTTTATGATAAGTTGATCGATTTCATTTTGTAATCTGCGTACGTTCCTGGATTGAAATGTCAGTTTTATAATAAATGTTTATGATGTTAGTGGTTATTAACTCGTCATCTGAGTTTGTTCAATAAATATTCAAAATGATCCCTCAGAATTTTTATAATATAATCTTTTGCAAACAGCCGCTGCGTAGTGAGAGTGTGGTCAATGGCTTTTATTACGTGGGTATTTCTCAGCACATTTCGAAACTCATTGTCTGAGCCATTGATGCTAAGTTGCATGGATTTATCATCAATCTAACATTTTTATTATATAAATAAGTATCTACACTAATAGTTTAAAAGCAAAAATTTAGATAATATATTGACACAAAAAAATACGATTAATTTATTAGTCTAAAAGTCATTCCCTCATCTCGTCCCTGGGTCTGAAATTACTAATAAAAAAATATATACAATCAAATCTATTCATATTCTTATAAATAGAATATTACTAAAATATTTGGTAATAAGTATGGATTGTATAGTCAAGGTTTTTACTGCTAAAAAATAAATATCTATAGATATAAAAAAATATATTTAAGCTTTGTCCCTTGAAATGAAATCATTCCCTCACCCATTATAAATATTCGATTTGTCGTCACACATATTTTTGAACGCAGCTGTTATGTTCTTAAAACTTGGCAATACTGCTAATAATGTCAACATAGCGGAATTTTTTTAATAGTGAAAAGAGTTGCTGCAAAAAAAGTAATGGATTTCAATAATTAGAACATTATATTTCTCTGTGTCATTACCTCACTGTTTATATTAAAAGGTAAATCATTATACTGTTCGAATATTTTGATTTTTTTCTTGTTTTGGGGGAGTAAATTGCATTCACAAAATGCTAAATCAATGTGAGGTTGGTTACGGTGTCGTTTATGCAAATCCGTCATTCCCTCACTATATTAGAAAGTGAGGCAATCAAAATTATATGAGGGAATAAATGTTGCATGAAGTTGAGTCATTAATTTTCAGATAATGATTGTAGAAGGAAGATAAACCAAAATATGTGAGTAAAAATTAAAAAAATTGTTACCTTGTTTTATAAAGTATCCTCCCGACAAGTATTTCAGTGCGGACCTGTATTTGATCGTGCGGTCTTGGAGCACCGGCAGGCCTCCCCTGTGAGGTCTTAAGTCACCTGATTCACGAGCCCTTTGTACTACATTAACAAAGGCACGAGGGGTTGGTTGCACTCGATTGGGAAACCGATCCGCATAAATCCGTGATGCCGTGTAAATAAGAATCATGTCCACAAGTTCAGCATTTTCATAAACATGTGCCATTTTTGATTTCGTTTGAGCCACGCAACAGACACCACTATTCACTCACGCGTTACCGACTGACACTGACTGTATTCAACTGAATAAAATAATTGTAATAACATCGTTCCAAATTATTTCGCTTTTTTGTTTCCGATGCGATGAACTGATAAGGCGGATTATATCCGTTGTTGCCAAACACGAGCACATAATATTATTATTGAGACAGGGCGGTACTAAAACTTCCAAAGGGCTATAACTTTGTTACTTTAATTTTACCAGAAAAATGGTAAAGGAAAAAAACATTTCTTTTGATCAGATCTGTTAAAATAAATGACTCAACTTCGAAGTCATCCTGTATATAAAATTGAGGTTTTCGTGTTATTGTTTAACTCCAGGTTGTATAGCATGTGTTTTCAATTTTATCAGTTATCCGTATATCAAGAATGGGGAAAATAAAGAAGTTAAGTGAAGAAGACAAGAAATTAAAAAGGGAGTACGACAGAAAGAGACGAGAACAAATGAAAATTAAAGCTGAGTCTTTAGAAGCTTTGCGTGAAAAAGAAAGATTAAAGTATTTAAAGAAGTTAAGTCAATAAGTCCTATGAGTGCAAGAGAAACTAGCCAAAAACGAAAAAATGGAAAAAGAATAGTAAAATTTATAGGGAAAAGCGAGTTACATTACAAACAAATTTACCGAGAATAGTTGAAGTCACACCCCCACCAAGTCCTGCAGCATCTTTACAGCATAGGGCAGAGAATTTGTCTGCTCTCAATAGACGTAGAATGCGCAAGCGGCGAACTATTCTGTACGCGAAGATTAAAAGTTTGGAAAATAAAGTAACGAACGCAGTCAAGCTTAGCGAAAAATGCAAGAACAGGTGTTTGAGATTGAAAACTAAAAATACTGACCCAAACTTTCCAGCAACTTAAGTGTTTTCGCTTTTAAAGAATATACAAGTTCCTGACGTTGTAAGAAAAAGACTCATTTTCGGAGAAGCACTGCCAACGGACCTCAAGAATATCTATGAAGATCTTGGAATTAAACATGGAGAGAAGAAAAAATATTACATGTTGAAGCAGCAATAAGTACAAAAGATACAAATTGCTATATAGACTGAAAAATTTTTTCAAAAACGATACGTACAAAACTCGTAAAGTTAGCTCCAAAATGCTTAGGGGTGATGTTGTTTATTTCTTAGAGAATGATGAAAATACGAGGATGTGCTCTTTAAAGTACAAAACAAATCTCAATACATCTATTAATAAATTAATTTTTATAGCAATTCAGCGTCAAATTGTTGTAAAAATCATTCCCCATCCTATCAGTCATTCCCTCATCTCAAAGTTTTTAAATGTCATTTTTCAACATGTTTTACACAAAAATATGGAGGACCTTCATTTTCAATGAACCTCACTAAAGTACAACTTTATATTTCTGCAAAAAAAGGATATATTTTCATTATTATCATTAAGAAACGCAAAATGAAATTTCTAAATTTGTTGAGAATATATCAAGGCAACTGACGAACCTTAATTTTGTAGATGAATGTTTCAATAAAACTTGGATAATATAACTTATCCAATAATATTTATTCACTCAATGTATACAGTAAACAGCTTGAGTAAATAAATATAATATAAAAATAGGTCCAATATGAGGCATTGCCTGTGCGTAGACCAATAATTATAAAAATGGGCAAGGACTAGTAACATTTAAAATAATTTCCGAAATGTAAATCTTTAAAATCATAATTTCATAACATTGTTTCGGCCCTTCTGAAAATCCATATCTGTGCCCCAGAGCCAGACTAGGTCAAAAATGAGTTTAATATGTTAAGCTTCTGATAATATTGTGAATTTTCAGTTGCTACATGCAGCGTCCATCTATCTGTAATAATAAGGAAGATACGGCATTTTAACTCATGTCAAGTCGCATTCAATACAATGAAAGAAAAATATTTCAAATACAATTATCTCAAAACTGCTTATTTGGACTTGACCCAGTCTGGCTCTGAGGTACAGATATCGATTTTCACTTTCAGTAGATAGAAATTTTTCAATGACTTTTGTTATACTGGATATATGATTAATATTGGTCGATAATTATTAACATCTGTTTTTTCCTTGATTTATGCATCGGTATTATATTAAATTTATTATTAAATTGAGGGACATATGCCGGAGATTATGTTATCTAGAGATCATTTCTAAAATACATTCTAGTTAATTACAGCAAATTGAATTTGTATGTACAATGTTGATGCTCGTCAAAGTGCAAATCTCTGTTCCTTTTTTTTAAATCCCATTTAGGATGTGCTAACATTTGCGTGATTGCATTCAGTCAAACCCACACGTTCAATTAAACGATCAAAGCACGGAGACATATACATGCATATAAAATTAACAAACCGTGCAAAACTTATTTTTAGTCCCAGATTTTAGCTTTAGAAAGTTACATTTACTGAAATGATAATTCTCAGATGGTAATAAATAATTTTCGTCACTTTGATTAAAGTTGTTCGCATAGAAACTGAAAAGCTGTCAGGATTCTTTCTTAAAAATTATTTATTTATAGCATTTTGATTATTTATATTTATGGTAATTGACTGTACTTGCGGAGTGGCTGTGAGATGTATGGTCCATTACTTAAGAGGGGCGTTTCAACGCGTCATCTGCGGCCAGTCGCCAGTTTTGTCAGTATTTCTGACAATTTTAGAATTTGCACTGCGAAAATGATATCAGCTATAGATAATAGTAGCAGTTAACATAAAATTTATAAAGATATTTCATAGAATAGTGCTGCTTTTAACAATTTAAGAGAAATACAGTTAATAATTTTCACTTTCACACACCGCTACTTCAGAAAAATAGATCTAGGTACTTACTTCTCCAAAATTTCCTCAAAATGTCACTGTAAAGTTAATTCGAATATAAAATAAATTAAATCTACAGGCTGTAAACATTATGGTAGTCATTATTGAAATGGTTAATAGGGGGGGGGGGTCAAAACAAGTCAAGAAGTTCATGGTCCAAAAGTCAATAGATTTTGGTCTAAATGGCTTTATAGTTTACAACTTTAAGTGTTTTATATCGTCCACAATCACCACAATCTTACTAATTTTTATAATCTAATCTAAAACATTTTTAAATTGGATAATTAACAAATAAATGGTATTAAGTTTATCTAAGTTAAGCCAAAATTTGTAGTCAGTAAGCAAGTGTCATTAGAATAAATACTTAAAACACACATGACAACAGCGCGTCGTCGTCACTCCTATCGAACCGGCAATCGATCGCAAACGGTAACAGTGGTTAGTTATCGGGCATCGCGCGTGCTGTTTTATTATTGTTCGAGTACGTCGTCGTGTTTATTTAAAATGTTCTCGAATCAAGAGTTCGTCGACATGTTGTTAGTTTACGGTGGAGCTCGTCAGAATTCAAATCTTGCAGCTCAAATTTATCGCTACAGATTTCGCCAACGGGTACACCCAGACAGAAGGACATTTGTGCAAGTGTACCAAAGACTTCGAGATACAGGAAGTGTTCAGCCCACTAATATTCGGATTTTTTAAAAACATTCTGGCGACGGACGAATGTACTTTTACGCGAGACGGGATATTAAATTTCCAAAATACTCACACGTGAGCCCAAGAAAATCCTCATACCATTCGTGAAGATCATTTCCAACAACGTTTTAAAATAAATATTTGGACGGGTATTCTTGACGGTCAGGTAATTGGCCCTTTCGAGTTACTCCCAAAGTTGTCAGGAGAAGGATACCTTAGCTTTCTAGCCAATAACCTAACAGAACTTTTGGAACAGACCTTACAACACAGAGAGAATTTGTGGCTTCTTCATGACGGGGCACCAGCACACATTTTTAGAGGCGTCACTCAGTATTTCAATGATGAACATTATCCAAATCGCTGGATCGGTCGAAATGCTCCTGATCCTCGAAACTGGCCAGCAAGATCTCCTGACCTCAATCCGATGGATTTCTGGTATTGGGGAGAACTTAAAGGGATGGTTTATGGGGCTGGTCCAATAACAACTGAAGCACAAATTCGCGAAAAAAAATTTAATGCGGCTGAAATAATAAATGGACAACTTCGGGGACCTAGAGTAAGAAGAAACTGGGTTCGTGGTAATGAAGCTTGTGTGGAAAGTGGAGGACGACATTTTGAACACCTTCTTTAAATAAAAAAAGTGCAGTGTGGGTTTTAAAAAGAAAAACAATGTATGTATCAAAATTGTGTTCCCTATTTATAAGTGGATTTTTTTAATACGTTCAATAAACTTTCACACACCAGGCGAAGCGCTGATGCAGTTAGTGGTAAGACCGTTTTTTTAATTGTTTGGATTTTACGAGTACATTATCAAATAATGAAATAATATCTAAGAGCCAAAAATAACAAACTCCATCTTTATTTACACTGCGTTTCGTCGTACTCGTAATTTGCGTCTGGCATTGCGGCGTTGTCAGATTTTATGTTATACGAAACTTTTTGCTCCTTTTAACCCCCTCTATCACCCATTTAAATAATGACTATCATAATGTTTACACCCTGTATATCAGATGGCAGAAGGTTGACAGTTTCATTTATAATAGTTCTGAAATATAACAATGAACTATATCACAATTATTATTATTCCACTAGAGGAAGTATCATTTACAAAATTGTAGCAGATTGACACACAAATCAGTATTTCAAAAAGGATTTTACGAATTTAATAAATTAAGTTATGATATCAAGATGTGTGCCAATTTCAAAAAGGTTCAAAGGGAAACTAAAAAAATATTTCATGGAAAATCTGAATAAATAGCAGTGAAATGTCGTATAAAATAATATGTGATATACTGTGCAACATTGATATGGGCATCATACGTCCCTTTTGGGGCCAACATAGTCGTCATATTTGTGCCATTTTCCATCCATCTCATTTCCTACGATTACTCGGCTATGTCATGCTTCCCAATAATTATAAAATTTTATTACACATTAAAGATAAATTAAGAATTTTTTTGTTAAAAGGATATTGTACGAACAATTTAAATCGCATACGTCTATCCGCACGTCACAGTGCAGAAAAAAGTTTTAAAGTTCTAATCTAATTACTCTCTCTTAATAACACGTTGAAAACGGTAGAATTACAATTCTTTAATTAGCCGTAATTAATTAAACAGCAGTTTCCCACGGAATCCAGTAGCGTAACCGTGTACAGTGGTTCGAGAAGTTCCGACCATTTAAGAAATCGCTAGCCATAAAGAAACATGCGATGCGCTGCGTTGTTGAATGTAAATAAGTTTCGATAGGCGAGTTTATAGATCATGACCGACACTTACAGATGATTAGAGATGTTCTTACTTGATGAAGGTCTTGAGCATTCTGACTGAAAGCGAGATATGCAGCTTTACAAACAACACTCAAGAAGGTGATTGTGTGTACTAACAATAATTATGCACATAGATCTGGGAGTCTAAAACAGAGGATATCATCTATTTTTTAAGTACTCGGTTCTGGCAGAAAAAGACTTCGATAGCCACCTTCGATGGGCATCACTCAAAGCGCGTCTCGTTTTGTATACACAAGGAAATTATAGTGCGCATGGTAAAAAGCTGTGGCATTTCCAAACTAAGGCGTGTCTATTTGAGCATCTTCCAGCGCGCTATAGGCAGGTGGCCCGTAAATGGTATTCCTAGGCACGAATCGTTACCCGTCGAGTGTTTACACACTACTTCACCGGTCTTTTTGTCCTTTTTTCTCTACCTGTAGACACACACCGTGGTCTCCGTAGCATGCGCTGTGTAATGTCTACGATCTTACCAGTTTTTTTTTGTCATATACTAAGCCGCGCAGTATGATACTCCGTAAATATGACGACAAACTAATGTAGTGACGAGTGGTTGTTTGAAGAAATCGAAACTCATCGTACAAGGCATAATGAATGTTTGATGAAATCGAAACCCGTTTTTTTGAAGCTAGTATTGAATACCTCTACGTATGCTCGCTAGTCAATCCATAAAAATGCTTTTTTGAAGGATCTTTGGGACAAATACACTTTATACTTATGTACCACAATTATTAGTCCATCGATTTCAAATGAAGTCTATATGGAAATTCTTTAGCATAAGAATTTGTGTGTTACGACCAGCCTATCCCAGATGAGTTTATATTCAATTCAACTTAATTTACCAAAGGCATAATTTTGACAGGCATCTGAACGAACAAATAACAGCTCACAATGACGAATTGTATGGAGATTAAAATAACCATCTTACTATGGAGACTTTTTGTGGGTCGAGTATACTTACGAAGAGCTACTCTGTTCAAGTGTTATCCAAAAATAATGAGAAAAAGGAGCATTCCAGGAATGAAAGTAAAAAAAATATGCGAAAAAATAATGTATAAAAATGAGAGAAGGGATCCGTGGACATCCGGAAGTATAACAGCATTTTAATCTTAGTATTTCGTCTTGTAAACAGTTTTGTTGATTTTATTTTACAATTTTCATCACTTTCCTCTTATCAGTTCTGGATTTTTCTGATTTTAAAATACTTTTTGCACTTACGAGGGATGTCTTTTAAGTTTTGCATATAGAAACATAGTAGGCCGCGCGAACGTCAATACTGAATCTTAACCTCACTTTATAGTAAACTTAAATTCAAAGTTTCACAACAATACGTGCAATGTTCTCACTACAGTACATTTTTAAGTGTCACCAAGTCATTAGAAAAATGGAACTCAACCGATAACATTTTCGCGCCATAATTTATTACAACTTTCAGAGGCAATTTTCGCAACAAGAATGCCTTGCTGAGTTACTGTCTGTTTTCGCCACATCAGGCGACAATTTCCCGTTGGTATGGAGAATTCAAACGTGGACCGGTGAGTCTTAGAGACGATCCCAAGGTGGGTGCACCAAAAACGGCAGTCACCCAGGAAAACGTCGATGCTGTGCGCAAACTCATCATTGAAGATAGACATGTGATATATCGCGAGATTGAGGCGTCCTTGAAGATCTCAAAGATCTCAAATCAAACAATTTTACATGAAGAATTAGGAGTAAGAAAATTAGTTTCTCGTTGGATACCCCACCTGTTGACTGAAGAGCAGAAAGCAACCAGGGTTAATTGGTGTCAAAAAACGCTTGACCGTTTCCATTCCGGAAACTCAAAAAATGTGTACAGCATTGTTAGTGGTGATGAATCGTGGATTTACTGTTATTAACCAGAAAATAAACGACAGTCGGCTGTTTGGGTGTTCCAAGGTGAAGAAAAGCCAACAAAAGTCATCCGTTCTCGAAAAAGATGGTCGCGACATTTGTGTCAAAAGCGGGTCATATTGCAACAATTCCTCTTAATGAGCAAAGAAATGTTGCTGCGGATTGGTATAACTCCATTTGTTTGCCAAAAGTTATTACCAAGCTTCGAAAAATCAACCCCGAAAAAGAATCATCCTCCACCAAGACAATGCAAGCTCGCACACAGCCCAAACAACAAGGCAGTATTTTAAGGAAGAAAACGTGGAATTATTGGACCATCCTCCAAATAGTCCCGATCTAAGTCCCAACGGTTTCATTACTTTCCCGAAAATTGAAAACAGACTGCGTGGTCAAAGGTTCCAGTCACCAGAAGAAGCAGTTGACGCATTCAAAAATGCCGTTTTGGATCTGCCAGCAAACGAGTGGAATAAGTGCTTCGAAAATTGGTTCGAGCGCATGCAGATGTGTATTAATCTTCATGGAGAATACTTCGAAAAACAATAAAGTCATTTATAACTACATACCGTGTTGTTTTATTTCCATATGCAAAACTTAAAAGACATCCCTCGTAAAAAAGGATGCTTGGCATCTGCACTTAGACTATCCGCATGACTAAATCAACGATTTTGAATCATTTTTGGTCAATTTTAATGATCCTGCGTCCAAAATATAGTTCATTACATTTAATTATAAATTATTAAGTTTGTGCTGCTGATAATACTTCAGAGCACATTGTTCACAAACTGGTTGTTCTTTGGAAAACCGAAAAAACGCCAATTCTAAATAACTAACTTTTCTTGTTGATGCTGAAATGTTTAATTCACTGTTTCTTTTTTCATTATATTTCACACACAGACTTATTTGAAATACACCAGATAGTAAACTAACCAACTAATCACAAATTACGTGCTAAAGCGACATATGAAACTGTACGTTTTCTACCCGTCTCTGGGGAATTTTGTCACCGAGTGACGCCACGCGTGCGAAAGTGATACTAGGTTGTAAATTAAGTGATGAGACTGGCAACGTAGCGTTAGATCTGGCAACAGTGGAGGCGCCGCGCTTGGACGGAAGACAGGGGAACATGTGATTCGCCTTCAGTACAAGTTTGAACTCGCTCGATTGCTAAACTTGAGCAGGCCTGCTGTTTTTCGTCAAGATACCAGGTTTTTCGGTGGTTTAAGGCATCGAAATACATGATTCACCTACAAGTAGTCTTCGTAAAATAGAACGCGGTGTTCGTGGCTGCCTCCTGCCTGTGTTAGAACTCATAAGAGGAATTGGCCAAACGAACGCGGCTTGAACGCTGAACGCTTGTCTGTCTGCGCGAGGCCTAAACAGTATGTGTGGTAGAATTCTTGTCTCGAGTCTATGCTTGATGCTGCATGCTTAGCGATAATGCTTAATTTATATGCATGTTACTTGTGCGTCCACAGGCTGGCAAATGGCTAATTCGTATTTCGAAATAGGCAATTTAGCTCATTCGCAATATATCCAAACGGGTAATTACCACAGCACACATATTTAGACTTGAACAAATTTAATAAATTTGCTCAGCAACTCGGCACTACGATGGCGCGCGGTCGGTAGCTGCGAATGTTAATGTTTTATTTATATCCTGCTTGTAACTCAGCTGGATCATCGTCGACTATGCATCCTGTTGCATACGCCAGTCGTGATTTTTCTCATCCAAGTTGCACGCAATCAGTATTTTTCATAAATTAGTTAGTCAATGAGAACGTTTGCTACTGTGCATGCGGTAACGAGTTACGAGATTATGAGAGCATCTTGGAAATTGAATATACATGGCGTTACAATTATCACCCCATTACGTTGTTACATATTAAAGCAAAAATTATCGAATCTGTCATAAACAAGCAAATTATCTAATTTTTTTAAACAAATAGTATTTTTTCTGATTGGCAACATGGATTTCGGTAGAAAAAATCTCACTAAGGTTCAAAATAAACGCAACAAGCAAAGTTTTGGTCAACGTCATAGCTTTTTTATTTTTTACCTGATGTCATTGATCACTTCGGCAGGCGGTAGCTTCTTTATTTTGTAAATATGAGTTCTTGATTGAAGTCACGGTTTGACTTGTACAGAGTAAATCAAAGTGATGTTTCACTACCCCAACTTTGAGTCACTCTGTGGTGCGACTCCAGTTGCCAAAAAGACAGCTATGCACTCCATTATCGAGAACCATATTTTCTCTATAATCTGTTTTTTTATTCACGTCAATCTATACAGTGGTTGGAGTTTTAGAGGCAAATGAAGAGTTTATCACAAATGTTGCTTCTTCCTTCCATAACTTTTTTAACTCCCATGCAAAATCAAAAAGTTTTTTATCAATTTGAATTTGTACATAAATGTATTGCCTTTTTGTGCTAGGTTCACATTCTTTTATACCTCACTGCTTCCGTTTATATACTGTGGCGAAGAACATTTTTGACTTAGTTTAAGGACATGCTGTATAATAATTTCACGCTCTACCCTGTTGAAATTTAGTGTCAGGGCAATAACCATATCTCCCCCATCCTCTAATTTTGAGTTCATGAAAATTTGAACGAGTATTATACTTTACAGATAGACGCCTCCTAGGCGTTCTCTGGTATATGAAGCAAATGAAATCTGATAATTTCGAGTCCTGTCTAGGAAACAGCTGAGCAATGTTAACATGCAATTTATTTTGAAACCCATCTCAAATAGTCAGGAAAAAATAAAAATGATTTTGGGATAAATCTGATAATTTTAAGGCCTACCGAGAAATTTCTGCTTTTTTTTTTAAATAACTAAGGTTTGGCAATGTCCATGTAGGACAATATGGCATCCATAAGAAAAAATAAAGTTGGTGCTGGTGGACAAGAGACGAAACGTCATATTGAAATTGTAATTAGGTAAAGGAGAAAAAGTGGCAATGTTAATGTGTCATTTATTTTGAAATCCCACTACAAATAAAGTCAGGAAAAATTTAAAACGATTTTGGGAAAGTTCGATTTTTTCCGCCTTTGAAACTTTCTAAGCGGCATTTTATTTATTACTTAAATACGCAACTGTGCCCCCATTTAAGCGACTTAGAATCTCTTACAGTTTCCGAGATCGACTATGAAACACCCTGTATAGGCGAACTCAGGAAACAAATTCCGTTGATATAGAGGTAGAAAAGAGTTGGCAGGAAATTCAGTATTTTGCAAAGACGATGTTTCACAAACATTCTGCTTATTCTCTTTTACATTCAATCATTAGGTAGATTTTCTTAACTACAGTAGCTTAAGCTGCTAGTCTTACAAACCTTCAATCTCGCCTAGTAATAAATCTAACAGGACGGATGATTTGGCCGATCATCACCTTTGCAGCACAATACCCTAGAATAAATCATCGGATGCCTGTGCTGCCACTCAGCTGAGTCCAATTGAATTTTTACACAACCTGATCGGAGCTTTATAATAGATGTCTGTTGGATTGTAGTCGGGTCATGCACATCGTAGACGTTAAAGGACAGATAGACGAACGAATACTCGATAATTATCGTCACAATGTGAGAATAACTCTGGAGATGAGTTTCTTGATGAGAAGAAAAATAACGGAGTCGTTGAATCTGACCGAGGATAATGGACATCTGATTCCTCTGCGTTGGATATTCTAGAGGCATCGGCGGCAATTTTATTTGTTGTGAGCAAACAATAATTGACGTTGAAAATAGTCATTTGGTTGATAGGATGGAAGCAGTTGTTAGGACAGTTGATGGTATTTGTACTTATATGGTTGACAAAGACTTGATGAATTGTATAACGTATATTAGGTTCGTAATTTTATGTACAGAAATCTCCAAAGCAAGTCTTCGTTAATACTGAATATTTGGTATCAGTCCCATTATTTTGACATTTTGAGTTTTACGGCATATCGCACTTATATGACATACTACATACTACAACTGTTAATTCTGTATCAATCTTTCAAATAAACTTAACCCATTCCTTTGTTGAAATTCAGAATTTTGGAACTTTTGTATGGATGAAATTGCAACACATGAAATTTTTTTCAAAAGTCGTAACGCATACACAAGAAGTATAGAGCCAATCTCTTCCGTAATAAATTATAAAAGTGTACGCACTATGTTGTTTTGATACTAAATAAACTGCATCTCACTTGGGTTTCATTCATTGATGTCGCACATGTTCAATTATTGCCGGATCTCTAAATAGACCATGAATTGGTGGAAATCAAGTCGGCAAAAATAAGTAACATGGTACAGCGATAAATCAAAAATATGATTCGCAGAAATGACAGGTTGCACACAATGCTGTTGTGAACGCATTTTTATAGGAATTACCGAGGGTCATGTTGCAATTAACATCAATTTAAAACGTATTTGCACTTGCTGGGAAGAGAATTAGGAAGATTGGATTGGAATTAAATTATTAACCTCCATCATCAACACAAAATGAAAGTAAACAGTTTAATTATTGGATAATTACAACATGTCTTGCAATGTATTAGGATATCAGGACATATCTCTATTTATAATTTCCGAAATGCCAATGCAAATTGAAAAATGTTAGCAAGAAACAGTCAAGGATATTTCATGGTATTCAAGATCTCGATCAAGATTGACAAGTAGTGTATGCGTACGTACACTTCCAGTAGTGATATATGATTTTCTAAAGCTTATGATTGAAGGTGATTAAATCTAAGTGCCTTTTTGATTTGAAGGAGGCAACTTGTATATAATATAGTTCAATTGTTCTCCGCATGAGGGACGGATTCAATCTCCTTCAGATTTGAGGCTGAAAAGCAACAATAAAAAAGTTTGAAGCCAAAATCCTAGGTCACCGCGGCTGTTAAAAGCAGCTTAATGAAACTGTATTAATACGATCTTTGAACTGCCTGAGGTCAGTCCTACTGGGAAAAGCCTCCTCCTGTAGATTGTTCCACAATCCCGATATCCTAGGAACAAAGGAGCGGTCGTATCGGCCAGTTCTGGATGTATGAAGTTCGATACGATTAGGATGCGAGGCTGAAGTCAGTCGGGTCTGTCTGGCATTCACTTTGTGACATGGTGACACATAGCGCTGCCCTTAAGGAACCGCATATTGTTCACATCCATGTCGTTCAATTCGTGCCAGAATTCATAGTAATGTTGATTTGTAGAGCTCGTAGCTGACGGGAATAGCCTTAACAAAATTGTTAAATTAGTAGCGTAGTTGAATACTACTGGATTTCAGTACCAGTCGAGAAAGCTCCAATTACATAATTCGCAATGGAATGCCCTCCAAACTAATTAGAAACAAATTCCTTTTTTATTTAAATTCTACTGCGCGATACATTTGCTTTGAATTCCATCGGCGGCGTTCTACAATCGGTCACGACATCCCTTGAGGACGTTCTATCTCCATACATTGAAGTTGTTTGTATACAGGGTATTTAGAATTAGATGGAAATCTCTCGGGTGCATACACAACACAAAACAATAAAGCCACAGGTTCCTATGAAAGTATCTTTTG